GTGATGTTCTTGTGTCATCTTATCAGTACAAACTGAGAGTTGTTTATTACTGATATTCTTTGTTTATTGTCAGAGAAAAAATAAACGATTTCAGTACTGGGACGACATTAAGGAAGTTGTTTGTGTGTTGTCATTGAATTGCTTTGGCTGGTCTAGATAGATGGGCTACAAAATGAAGCCCAACCAGCTGATGGTGTTATACACAAGTTCAACATATCTAGGATGTCTTTGCATCAACTGGCTTCCTAACATCAGCAATTGGAAGTCTGCATTTGGATGTAATGGAGCAAATCATTTCAGCGTCCAAATTTGAGTCATACTGACAGTATAATTGTTAATTAAAAATGTCAATTGGTTAATTTTAAGCATTAACAACTATTTGTTTAGGTCTTGTCATTTAAGGGTTATTGGGTTAGGTTTGGTTTGGGTTAAAATACAACAGTTTTCAAGCTCTTTTCTTGATGAACATGTTGGTTCCTGCCCACTTTCCCTGGAAAAAATACATGCTTATTACATTAAATACATTTTCCACATTACTTACAAATTACTCCTTTTACATAAAAAACTATTGTTTTTTTCATGACTATTTCACATTTTCTCATGAGACCCTGACAGACATGGGGAAGTCTACTGCCAGCAGAGGAATGAACTATGAGCTATTATGCTTATCAGTATTAGGCTACAGCTGTACAATTAGGACATTGGTGAGGCTGACAGATTACAATGGTTAGTCCATTAAATTAAGATTTAGATTTGTGTAAGACTTTATTTCAGCTTTAGGCCTGGTGATGTGTAACGGTATGAATTATGTTGATTAATATTTTTTACTCTCAAACGTACTCAGAGCCCACAAGCTGGGGTTCCGTATTCAGGGTCATCATGTGATACGTGGTTAGGCAGACAATTTAAATACATAAATACAAGGATAGAGAATTTGGATTTTTGGTAATTATTGGATGGGAAATTGCCATGTGAGATAAGATGTGGTGCTTTTTCAAACCAAGTTAGAGAAGTTAGCTTTTGCAGCTGATAGTTAATGAAACATAACTCGTATCATCAGTTACAATTTGTAAAAACTTGGCTTATAGATATGTAATGACATCTACTATTAACACATTCCGTATATGAAAATACTGAGGCAGAGCAAAAATTAAAGTATCTTCAGCCATCACACTGTGGTCAAAGGAAGGAAGGTCCATGACTGCTGATCACAGTTATAGTGAACTGATAATAATATTTTTGTGTTATTTCAGGGTATTGTGATTGTTTCAGAAAGTAACAGTGCCATGGCCTGTAATTTATACAGTTGTGGTCAGAGGTTTATGTGCACTCATACAATCGTTGGCATGATAGTTTTGGATATTTAATGATTTCTTGGAACTGTTCTCTTTCTAGAGAGGAAAAAACAAAAATCGGGTGTACAACCTTGAATTTATTTAGGGTTTTTTCTTAACCACACATGGTCAAAAGTATACATACAGGATACATACATATATCACAAATATGAGACTCTTTTCAAGCTCTTTCTCTTGATGGTCATACTGGCTCCTGCTCACTTTTATGGACAAACACGTTATTCATTTCCTATTTAAATACATTACTCACTTATTCCTGTCCCAATTCATGTATATGGACAATTCATGTCTATATACATGAAAAATG